TTCGAGTTGGACTGGAGGTAATAGTAATAATAGCAAAGACGTTTTATATATCACTATAGTATTGATATGTCACTCATCAATTCAGAAGCATGACTAAGAATTAGTATCTCTCATTCTAAACCACTTGAGTTCCCTCCCAAAGAAGAGTATATTAGTTTTGGAACCGAAAACCAATTTAACATTGAGAAATAATATCACCTAGGGTTTAATAACATCGGGGGGAAATGATATTCTCATCGGAAACTGATTGAAGAATGTGTTCCTAGTCCTCGTGTAGGAAAAAATCAAAAATATAGGTTCATGTTTCACTTCAAATTATGGGAAAACTGATGGGAATTTCTCAGAATTTTATTATTGCATATTTTCTCATAGTGCAATGAGGAAATTTTGGGAAGTCGCAAATTTGGAATTCGTCACGAAAACCTTCAGTTTGTAGTGTTGGAATATTTTTGGTTTTTTTCCCGGAAATTTCGAAAAAAGATCAAAAGAAAATTTGTGAAAAAATTTTCCAGAATTGTGTTTTTTTCATGGACTGTTTCACATGGTCAAGTTGATAAATAGATTTGTGCATTATGTAGTGATAGAAGGGTATTGTATTTTACAGGTGTTAGTGATGATGAGCATACACTCACGACGTTGAGGGAACTGCTGTCGGCTGTTACTGCTAGTGATGGTAGTACAGTGCATGGTGATGACCTTATTAAAGGAGTCAAGATGTGCTTTGAGGTAGTAGTAGTAGTGGTAGTAGTAGTAGTAGTAGTAGTAGTAGTAGTAGTAGTAGTAGTAGTAGTAGTAGTGGTAGTAGTAGTAGTAGTAGTAGTAGTAGTAGTAGTAGTAGTAGTAGTAGTAGTAGTAGTAGTAGTGGTAGTAGTAGTAGCGCATGGCGCTCTGTTTTCACTCTGAATTCTATTACAGTAATAGGAGTATACCTGAGCTTAGCCGCTCCTTTCGGAGCTGCTGCTGAGTTCGCGGCCATACTCCTATACTGAATACTATCTCCCTGGTGAGGAGGTTGTGCTACTCAAGAAAAAAGGATAGGAGTATCCTTCATAGTGCGTCCAATCTCAATGATGAGGGGTTGTCTATGATTAAGGACGAAAATGGTAGATTGGTATTAGCCGATATACAGGGGAAAAAGTGGAATTTATGAAATTAGCAACTATCATGTTAGTGCAACGTTTACGCATGAACACTACTAATTGAATATGACAAATCTCAACAGTACCGCACTCGGAAGATTTTGGATATCTTTATGTTGTTGATGTCGTTGTTAGGTTCATCGTTCGGGTAAATCATCAGAATTGGCACAGAGGACAGCACAGGCAGTTTTGACGCAAATATTGCACGCGGTGGTGCAACGAGCTGAGCTCACCGAGGCTGACATTAAAAAGAAGGTGATTGGAAATTTTGAGGAAATTTTTGGGAAAATTTCTTTTGTTGGTTTGTGTACACATTTACTCTAATTTGCATAGAAACATCTGAGCTCAGCTGATAAAAGCGAATATATATTCCAACAGTGAATAAGGGTTTCATTTACATTGTAATTACCGCGCGGCATGAAATTGCAAGAGTTATAGATTTATATATGTGTTAGATGCTTACTTCGAGTGATGGTAATAGTGATGGGAAGAAGCTCTCGGATGAGGAGAAGGCGAAACAGAGCGAGGAGTGGATCGCTAGCCAGGTCAGTGCTTGGGAGTTGGTGATGGAGTGGTAGTCTTAAAATAAAAAATTTCTATATATTTTATTTTTTTCTTATAAAATAAAATCTCTTATAGTATAAGATTGGTGGACAAATTATTTTTACTTTCTTTGCAATTTTTTTGGTATTATTATACTGCTATAAAACGTAAAAAAATTTATTATATTTTTCAAAACTCTTTTTATTATACCGTGAATTATATAACTTGTAGATCATCGTTATGTGAAAAAAATAAAATTTCAGAAAAAAATTTTGGGAGGGCATAAATATTTTCAGTTTTTCAAAAAGTTTACTTCATCGTTTGATAATTTCAGACGATTTCTGGAAAAAATTTTCGAAGATTTTTGGAAGTTTAATTTTTCGCTTTGTTTTTTCCCTGCAAAGATTAATTATGAAAAAATATTTCAGTTAATTTCTGACAAAAAATTTTTGCGTTCTTTTTCAGGTTGACCAGTGGCTTGACGAGGCCGTGGCTAAAGTGGATCCCTCCGCACCGAATGAGCGGAGCGAAGCGCCGAAAAAATTTGGTTTTTGCATAGTTTGCCGCAAACCAGCAGCACATTATTGTTTGGAAAGCAAAGATTCTGTGTGTAGTAAAACGTGTAAAGAAATCAACTTGCAAAGGAGAAAAGTAGTAGTGGTAAAATTTGGAAATTTTTTGCGGAAATTTTTTTTCTCAGATTGTTGATGAACCGGTGATTTGTGGGGAATCGTCGTTGGTTAGTGATGATGCGGAAATCCGAGCGAAAATGGAAGTTTATATGGACGATGCACTGAAAGTGTTTTCGACGCTATGTGAGATGGGGGGCGTATCTTAGGTTGGTGATGGTAAGATACGGATTAGGTCCGATGGAAAAATGATGGAAATTTTCCCCGCTCGAAATGATGAGATAGTTGGTGTTTATTATGAACGTTAGTTGGTGATGTAGTTTGCGGAGTTTATATTGCCTTTTTTTATATATATATACTCGGGTTCGAATCCGGCAGTGGATATTATTATTACAACATAATACTAAATTAATACTATTATTACATATAGTTGAGTTTTAGCGTAGTTGTATGAAAAATATATATTTCACGACTACTGCATATCACCGCGTTTTTCACAGAGTATTACGCCGCCACTTCACTTTGTAAAACGGGTTGTGAAACTCCAGTATTAGAAATTCATTGAGCACCGAAGAAGTAGTGTGGAAAAATGCGAGTTACTTTTCTGAGATCGATGAAAGTCGATCTGACGCTATACTGCATATGCAATGTTGGCATTGTTATGAACATGTACTGGAGCTTCACCCGTTTTACGTGAAGTGGCGTTATACTCCGTGAAAAACGCGGTGATATGCAGTAGTTGTATGTTTTTCATATCATGGTCGTCCGTGAAACTCCACTGATAGGGGAAGGAAATAGATACGAGTGATGTTATTTAAATATTATGAAGGGAATATTCTTGTATTACTACTGTGCGCGCGTTTTGAAAATTTGATTTCTCGGCTAATGCGGCGAATATTCATATAATACCTCAGCATGATGAATGCATTAAATCGGTATCCATTCACCATTAACCATAACATTCACCATAACAAGTATACACTTTAAGGCTAAATCGGATTTATGGTTGATATCTTGAGGGCCGTGCTGAAATGACCGTGTGCAGGAGCAGTATTAGATTTCTACTAAGGAGTGTGTATGCGAATCGTTGTACCAGGCACGATATCTCTTTATGGTGCATTGGAGCCGCCTCAGGAAGGAGCTCAAGTCGACCCGTCTTCAACGACGGACCCGATGGTAAGTAGAGTAGTGTTGGAGTAGGAATGTATGTAATCGCTTTCCTCAACTGAGCTCGGGAGTTTCCGAAGTTAATTCTCGGAGTTTATATATGAACTAAAGGAAAAAAAATTTATTGAGTTATATTTACTATCTAATAGTTATGGTAGAAATGTATAGAAAGCGGTGAGAATTTCCGGAAATTTTCTGTATTTTCCCCTCCACACTGTGTTGTATATTAGGCGGTGAAGACTAAACGTTTGAGTCTGGATATGATACTGTGTGTGATAAACGGCTCTGGCAGTGCTCTGAAGAGGAATGCTGTTTTCATAGAGGAGATTAAGTAGGAAGGGCGCGGGTTCGATCCCTGGGAGCGGCATTTTTATTATTATTATTATATATTTCAACATTTTGTTTATCGTTGCGATTTTTTTCTGATATTTTTTCCGGATTTTTTTTGGAATTTTTTTTTCTCATCATGCTTCTCAGGTTCCGTCTGATGTATTCGATTTTGCGTAATTGTGTGTCACCTGTCCCCAAGATATTTACTCTAGCTTTGCAAGTGTTCGTGGCAGTAGCAACAAATGCGGATTTGAAAGCTCATATAAGCGCCCAAATTGGAGTGTTCGTGGAAGAGGTTTTCAAGAGGATATTGAATTCGGGAAATTCGAGTTATCAGCACAAACATCGCGTGTTGCAGGTAGTATAAAGAAAATGAAATTTAGTGGAGTTTCACTCGTTTTACGTGAAGTGGCGTAATACTCGGTGATATTAGCGGTGATATGCAGTAGTTTGTGAAATATGGTTTTCATATCACGGTCGTGAAATTTCATTTTATTATTTTTCTATTTTTTGTATTACTAGGCCTTCGTGACGAAGGAATGGAGCTCACTCAGTCCACGTCTATTGATTCGATAAATGAATTTCACATAGGTCCCCGGTTCGATCCCCGGGTTGGACATTTTTCCCTCAAAAATAGTTTTTATGCTGTTCGCAGAATCGACGATTTGCCTACACCTCCGCATATAGAGGAGTCGTTTGATCCATCTGGTGGCCTCCGACGCCTCGTAGTTAAGCCAGAATAATTCTGCACGCACGCACAACGCGAAAGTGTCTGTTGTTGCGGTATATGCTCCGCTCATTTGCTGTTGTCACACGTAGTTGCCAATAGGCTAGGGATCGCCAACTTTATAAACAGTTATTAACAGATATCATATAAGTTTTAGTGACAAGTGAATGGAAAATAGTGACAACAATTAAATGTATTTTCTGTGCTATTCAAGTGTGTATATCAAAGTATTTTTTTATGTATTTTCTGAGAATAATATGAAGTTTCTGATTTTGTCAGGTTTTCTCAAAGTTGTGTACGGACGCTACTACTTGTCTAGATCTGTTTAAAGAATACGATTGCAGCGTGACGGAGGGAAACGTTTTTGAGGGATCCATATCTACTTTGGCAAAAATCGCGCAAGGAGGCGTTCCGAAGGGTGGAGGGGATTTGGAGGCAGTTCAGGAAAATAAATTGAAAATGTTGGCACTCGAGAGTCTGGTAACGTTGACTGCTAGTATGGTGGAGTTATCTAATCAGAAGGAGCAGGAAGTGGAGGAAAAAGGAAACGATGCGGCCAATGCTAGTTGTTCGGGCGGAGATAGTGAAAGTGGCGAGGGCAGTCCGAGAAATTCTATAAGTGCGGCTGTTGGGAAATCGAGCGCTATTGTGGAGAAAGCGAGGAAAAGTGAACTCGAAGTTGGAGTAAGGAAATTTAATATGAAACCAAAACGGGGAGTAGAGTATTTTGTGGCGCGCGGTTTTTGTAATAATGATCCTGTTGATGTCGCGAGGCTTTTGAAAAAAACGCGGGGAGTAGATAAAACTGCTTTTGGTGATTATCTTGGTGAAGACGAGCCGTTCAATTTACAGGTTATGTATGCGCTGGTGGAATCGCATGATTTTCAGGGGATGGATTTGGTATCAGCACTGAGGGAGTTCTTGGATAATTTTCGGTTGCCGGGGGAATCGCAGAAAATTGACAGAATGATGGAGAAATTTGCGGAGCATTTTTGCAAGGAAAATCCGGAAGTGTACGCGAACGCAGATTGTGCGTATATCTTATCGTTTTCGCTGATTATGTTGAACACGGATTTGCATTCATCGCAAGTAAAGAATAAAATGAGTTTTGAAGATTTCAAGAGGAATAATAGAGGCATTAACGACGGCAATGATATACCACAGGAACATCTGGAATTTCTCTATAACGAGATTAAGAATAAACCGTTTTCACTCGATGAGGATGAGGATTTGAAATTGAAGTTGGCAAGTCGGCAGAAATCTGCGATGCAACCATCGAGGAGGTTTGAGCTGTTTATTAAAGAGACGGAATCGATAGTGGAAAAGTCAAAGGAGATGTTGAGCAAACGGCCGGAGGAGTTGGGCAGGATTAGAGACCCTTTAGAGTAGTAGATGATGTGTGGGAGGAGTGGTATGGGAATATATGTAATCGCTTTCCTCAGCAGCTGAGCTCAGGAGTTTCCTATACAGTGTTGGAGTAGGAATATATGTAATCGCTTGCATCAGCTGAGCTCAGGAGTTTCCTATACAGTGTTGGAGTAGGAATATATGTAATCGCTTTCCTCAGCAGCTGAGCTCAGGAGTTTCCTATACAGTGTTGGAGTAGGAATATATGTAATCGCTTTCCTCAGCTGGGCTCAGGAGTTTCCTATACAGTGTTGGAGTAGGAATATATGTAATCGCTTGCCTCAGCTGCTGAGCTCAGGAGTTTCCTATACAGTGTTGGAGTAGGAATATATGTAATCGCTTTCCTCAGCAGCTGAGCTCAGGAGTTTCCTATACAGTGTTGGAGTAGGAATATATGTAATCGCTTTCCTCAGCAGCTGAGCTCAGGAGTTTCCTATACAGTGTTGGAGTAGGAATATATGTAATCGCTTTCCTCAGCAGCTGAGCTCAGGAGTTTCCTATACAGTGTTGGAGTAGGAATATATGTAATCGCTTTCCTCAGCAGCTGAGCTCAGGAGTTTCCTATACAGTGTTGGAGTAGGAATATATGTAATCGCTTTCCTCAGCTGGGCTCGGGAGTTTCCTGGCTGATTATAGAAATTTATATATACGCATCCGAGTAGAAGTGTATAGAAACGAAGAGCAATTTCGCAAAAAAATTTCGCAGAATTTTCGGTATCGGATATCAGTGCATATTTCCCACACTCGTCGGAGAAGTGGTATGACTTATTGGAGTTTCACGACCCTAGTGATATGAAAAAAACTAGTGCAAAACATATTTCACGACTACTGCATATCACCGCGTTTTACGCCACTTCGCGTAAAACGGGTGAAACTCCATCGTGGTTTGTATTGTGGACGATTTTATCATCGCTCGCTACAGTGTGTGTTAGGGTTTATTGTAAGAAGAAGTAATGAATCACTGAAATTTTTCCCTATTTTATCAATTTTCAATTAATATTCGAATTAGTGTTTTTAGTATGTGTATGTGAAATTTTGGAGAATTTTTTTGAATTTTTTGTGACAAATTTTGGGAGATGAAAATTTTTTCTGAACCAATTTACGGATATATATTTCGTTTCCTCATCCAAGTTTCCAAGTTTATATATGGAAATTCGCACACGAGTCGGCGTAGAAGTATACAAATAGCAACAAAAATTTCCCGAAATTTCCTCATTGCGAACAACACGCGTAGTTTTTTCGTGGAAACGGAACTATGCACTTCCGAGATGGTATATGGGAATTTTACCGGTGATATGGAAACAGTAGTGAAAATTTGATATCACACTTTGCGTGTAAGCAGTGAATAACGCGTAAAACTGGTGATGTGTTTGTTGAGAAATGTGGTCATTTTTTTGGTGTAATTCACCAAGTACTTTCTATTCACTTCATAGCGTGTTTTTATCACGTAAAACGGGTTGTGAAACTCCATTATACCGGTTTTTTGTGTGGGTTTTCACTAGAGTAGATTAACACGTGTAGTTGACCATGTTGTTGTTGTTATACTTCTATAGTCTCTGAGTATTGTTCTGTATAGGTATCTAGGACCGATGTTCGAGGTGATGTGGGGTAGCATATTGGGAACGCTCTCACAGTTGATGAATTCTGAGGAGGAGTCCTTGGAGATTATAGAATGGTAATAACTAATATGGTGGTGTTGGTTTGCACGCATACACAAGGGGAAAATCTACACTGTGCGATGAGTTGTCTCTGAATTTTGGAGGTATGTCGATCAGGTGTGTGGAAGGTCTGAAGCACTCAGTGAGGCTTTGTGCTCGATTTGATATGGACACGGAAAGGGAGTGCTTCGTGGCGATGTTAGCTAAGTAGTACTAGGGCTTCGCGATTAATGGGTGGAGCTCCGATTCGGTCGATGAATTTGACATATGTATCCGGTTCGTTTCCCGGGTTGGGCATTTTTCCGTCATAAAGAATTCTAGTCCTTGAGCTGTTCGCAAAATCGAGTTGTTCCGATTTCGGGGTTCGGTTGGGGAAAAATAAATGAATTTATTGACAACGTTTTGTAGTTTACAGAAGTACTTTGGGAATTGAAAAAATATGTGAAAATATTGGTCTGGTTTCCGTGTAGGTTTTAGAGATAGCAGTATCGGTGACGATTTAAATATTTTCAGATATACAGGCCTTATGAAGAGTCCTTTTGAGGCTCCAGCGAGTGCTAAGAATATTATGTGCATTAAGGCACTACTTAATCTGGCTAGTAGCGAGGTTGAAGGAGGAGAAGTTGTTTTGGGTAGTATGAGGTTGAATCATTTTGAGACTAAAGTTGATCAGTTGAGATTTTGAGTAGGAATGTTTTTGTGAAAAATTTAAGAATTTTTCCGTTGGAATTTGAAAACGTGATTTACGGTATAGGAGTTTTTTCCGAGGGGATGAACGCTTTAAGCGTGCGTATGAAGTTGGGTGGATTGTCATTCGAAAGCTTCCCGTTTGTGGATTTTGCAGTTATATAGTCGGCGAATTCACCAGCTACGGAAAAACGACTGTGTTGAAAGTGATTTTCGTGGGAATAGAACACCTGCGCCCTTCATTGTGGACGTATTAGACTGCATCGAGTGTTTAGGTCATTCGTGGAAGCATGTGCTTCTTATGGCCTCGCAGATAGATAGGTTGGCATTGTTGGCGAATCGTGCTAAGAGCGATTATGTATATTTCACAAATCCTGACGCTGCAGAGTCGCAAAGAGTAATGATTATGACGAGTTGTGAGTTGTATTTTCATCTTTTTTGGGGCGGTTTTAACAATATTTTTTTCATTATAATATGTTTTTTTGGAGAATTCATCATGCGAAAATTATAGATTTTAATTTTCATAATACGGATGAATGTCCAATATTTCCATGCGCGAGTCCAGCAGGATTTCTATAATCTTGATGTCGTTCCTTAGCATGCAAGGTCGAGTATGATGGGCGTGATGTTTGCAGCACATACGTCTACTTCGTCACCACATCTCGCCACGCAGTGGGTGGGCACTGGAGTTAGCGTTATGATGAAACAGCCGGAAGAACCTTCTGAAGAAGAGATTAATGTAACGCTGGGCGAAGCTGATCGAATTGGAGGCTGGTTGTTTTGTGGGAAATGGCCTGGAAATCATACAATAGAGTTTAGCTCGTGATATGAAAAGCATTAGTGCGAAGCATATTCCACGACTAGTGCATATCGCGTTTTTACGGAGTATCACGCTGTTCTACGTGAAACGGGTGAAACTCCAATGTATTCTGCTATTTTCACCGTCTTCGCTTCGTTTCACCGTGAATTTATTTTCAATTCTCGAAGAAATTCCAAGTCGATTCGTCAAGACAGTGTTGTGAGTCTTTTGTGAATGTATACTTCCGTATGAATAACTTAAAAATCATGCAATGCGTTTTGCTGTGTTTGTTGTGTATTCTTTGGTTCACAGCGAATTCGCCCTAAATTCCCAAAGAAATTTCAAGTCGCTTCGTCGAGACAGTGTTGTGAGTCTATTGTGAATGTATACTTCCGTATGAAAAACGTAAAAATCATGCAATGTAAATTCCCAAAGAAATTTCAAGTCGATTGGTCGAGACAGAGCTGTGAGCGTGTAATTCCGTGTGAATAACTGATTCGCGGTTGTAGTTGGCAAATTATGTTTTCCATCGGCGTTTCGCATGTCGCATTATTTTAGGCGAGCAAAGAGGTAGTGGAAGGTCATCCTGAGATAGTCCCGGCTACAGATGCAATCTTCCAGAGGTGAGTCGATTCGATTCGGGATTATAGCATGTTTGATTTTTATGAAGTGGTTGTAGTAGCTGCTGAGTAATTCATCGAGCAAGTTCCTTCAGGTCTACGAAATTGTCCAATGGTGAGGTCATAGTGTTCGTCGAGGAGTTGTGTCACCTCTCAACTGCTGAGTTAGCAGTGGTTGATAACCCGAGGGTCTTCTGTCTGCAGAAGCTGGTCGAGGTTGCTGATATCAATATGTCCAATCGCATCAGGCTGGTTTGGTCGCGGATTTGGCGCGTTTTGTCGGCGCATTTCGCGCAAGTGGCGCAAAGCAAGAATCAGCAGTTGTCCATGTATGCGATTGACTCGTTGAGACAGCTCGCACTGAAGTTCTTACAAAAGGACGAGTTGTCGAACTATCACTTCCAAGTGGAATTTCTTCGACCGTTTGAAGCTGTCATGGGCTCATCAGAAAGCTCGAGAGAAGTCAAGGAGCTCATCTTGTCTATTATGGAGTCCTTTGTGGCGTCGGATGTGACGAGAGCCAACATGAAATCAGGCTGGAAGTCTGTGTTTCACGTGCTCCTGTTGGCAGCCAACTCGGGTGGTGATAAAGCTGTTATTGAGATGGGTATGAGGATCGTCACGAGGTTGAGAGAAGAACATTTTGAGACCATTTGTGTGGAGAATATGCGAGATTATGTGCGGGTTTTGGTGGGATTTGCGCAATGTACTGGCGGAGGTTTGGAATTATCGATGAAGGCAATGCAGTATTTACAGGACTGTATAGGTAGGCAGCGCTGCTCTCGTCAAGGAGCTTCATATGCGACTGTGAAATTCAGACTATCTGGCTGATCCAGCTAGTCAGCTGCCTCCAGTGCAAATGTCATATCAACAAGGCCTCTTGACAGGAGGTGATCTATCATCAGCTTTTGTTGGATAATTGGTTTGAGCTCAGGCACGCCACAGTCAGGCGCGACACTGCCCACTACTGCTTCACCGGTGAAGAAAGAGGCTACACTCGGTTTGGCGAGTTCACAGCAACAACCAGCTTTGCATTGGTTCCCGGTAAGAATTGGGATAGGCGCCAATTGAAGTTTGAGATATTTATCCTCATCGAAACAGCCTTGAGGTTAGACCCGTAAGATGGTTGTTGGCAACCTGTTTATGCGTTAACGTTATCGAGGCTAAAATATTCATTTGAAGATGGTGTTGATCGACACCTTGAAGTAGTGACGCATAGTTTAGATGATATACATGTTGTTCACTATGCGCCACGCAAGTCCAACCGCTGGACTCTAGCCACACAGTCGCGAGAATGATGTTGATTGCGCGATGATTTAGCTTACGAAGAAGGCTCTGGCGCGACACTGTCTCAAGTTCTCACGGTCTCAAATGGGAACTTTTCAGAGGTCCTTGTGCATGCCAAGTTAACTGATGGTTAAATGGTTATAGTATCGTTTCGAGCGCTAAAGGATATTATGAGCTGGAAGGGCACCTCCCGACAATGCGTTGTATCCCTACTTAGCTTCTGAGTCAGAAGTTCAAATGCAGCGAGACTTCTACCCGTTAGATTAGAATGCTGTTAACTAACACCTTAAAATAGAGGCGTAGAGCTTAGAAGATGTACATTTGAACTATGCGCCACTTGAGTCGACCGTGACGGTCACGAAGGTAAATCTTGCGCCGACGTACGCTGGTAGCGCGACGCTTTAGCGTACGAGGCAAGCTCGGATTCCCAGCCGATTTATAGACTTTCGACATTTCCAGGTGAGCGCCTTGAACAGGATGAACAATTTTGATTGAAAAAAGGGAGAATCGACATTGTCGATTCGAGCATTGCCCTCAGGGTGATCAGACTAGGAATTCCGCTTATCACGCTGTATAACGGGAAAAATGGTGTTGATCAACACCGTGAAATGATGACGCATAGTTCAGAAGATATATATCTTCACTATGCGCCATCTTAATTTACCGTGGCGGTCGCGGAAGTAGATCTTGCGTCTGCGTATGGTGGTGAGACGGCGCTTCACCATACGGAGCAAGTTCTGGCGCTCGACCACTTTTAAACCCTCAGACATATCGAGGTAACTGTCGTGAAAGAGTCTCTGGAGTCAGCCTGTGCGGTCGTGACAATCTGATGAAAAAAGTGCAAATTGGTTGCCGGCCAGGATTCCACGTATCTCAGAACCATAACCGACGAAAAAATAGTAAAACTCATCTTTAACAGTTCATGTCGTCCATTGAGTCAATGGTATTTACGGAGTCGTTTTGACTCACTTCAACATGAGAGGTGTACTCATCTGACGAACAGATTTTGCAAGGTCTAACAAATTTTTCCTGTCTTACCTCACAAGGAGCGTCGTATTACGGCGGACTCCCCTGAGAGGAGTCGAAGTTGTCCTCCTGATATGTATGCCTCAAAATTGCGAAGAAACGAGTAGATCAGCGCTCCTTCATCAAGAATTCTCGTTCAGAACACAAGTGACTTGTGGTCTTCTTCACTACGCTCTAGTGAGATGGACTCAGTTCGATTAAAATCCAATACGAGTTTAATAGGATGGTGTTGACAAACACCTTGGAATAATAGCGCATAGCTATTATTTCAGCGATAGTTAATAATTATCGCTATTATTCCAAACCTATTTCTTCACTATGCGCCACTCGAGTCTACCGTGGCGATCACGAAAGTAGACTTTTCGTCAACGCATGCTTGTGGCGCGATGCCACAGCACACGTCGGAAGTCGTCCAGCTTACTGGACGACCTCAAATCCTGTTTTCTTGGTGACATAGCGAAAACAAGCTTACATAGAAATCTGTAACTTCCAGTGTGCAGTGGAAAATTTCTCTGATGTTTCTGATGGAAAAATAGGAATCGGAACTTTTGGCTTTTACCGGGCTAACGGCAATGAGAGACACCACCCTACGTCACTATCTGATGAAAATACCGTCAAAAGCTCTCGAACAAGGTCAATGGTATTGCGTGACTTAATTATGGACACAGGGATCATTAAGAGAAATAGTTTCTCTGAATGACCCTGCGTCAGTGAATATCAATTCTCAGAAACCGTCAAATACTTGTTTATGTAGTTGAAAAATTGAGCAGCACAATATCACTATCCGATTAAAAAAACGTCAAATAGCTTATTAATAGAGCGCAACGAATCAACCAGCACATTATCACTATGTGAACAAAAAACCAAATAGGTCATGATTGGAGCTTAATGAATCAACCAGCAAAGTATCACTTATCTGATGGAAAAACCGTCAAATAGCTCATCAATGAGGGATGAGGGGTCGCGCAGTACGATATCACCATCTGGTGAAGAACTGTGAATCGCTAACCAGCAAGTGGAATGCTGGTGTGTGTCGCGAACTGATAGGAACCCCACTAAATAGCTCATCGATAGGGCTAATAAGTTCGAGCAACACTGTGTCGTTATCATATACAAATCTATAAGGGACTCCTTGCAAGTGATTTGATTTTGACGATTCTCAGATACTTCATGGTTTGGAAGTACTTGTTTTCGACAGCCGACGAGACGTTCGTACAGCCGCTATCGATAAGTTGTTTGAGTGCCTCACATCACAGATTGATGATTTCGATAACGATACTCTACTCATGGTTTTCAACGGCGTAATAGTTGGGACTAGATGACTCTCTCTTACTCATATCGTTAGGTATTATCCCCCTTGTTTGACGATATGCTGCATTTGTTGACGCCTGGTAACAGGCCACCCACCCCTCCGGTTGAGAGGGGTGCCACCGAGCAGGGTGTCACCAGCAGTAAGTTTATGCAACTTTATGGAGTATATTTGTATTTTGACTAGAACACTTAGCAAAGTTCACGGGCTATATATTTTGCTTTTCATTTATGTAGCAAATCGTTTATGCAACTTCTACATCAGCAATTATTTTGCGCACCAGTGAATATCTCTTCCTTTTCTTTGTTCAGGTACATGTTTATCGGCTGTATCGGCCTTGACTCGTCTTGTCGACAAGCGCTTCGATCGCCTAGGGTTCCTCCTCCCACAGGTTAGAATGACGGATGTCGGAGATTTTTTTCTCGTGTTTCCGCAGATACTTGCTTTACTGGGAGCCTGTGTACATCACGAGAGTGAAGCTGTTGCTAGGATTGGTAAGCAGGAGGATCTGCTCATTTGGTGCGCATAAACTCATCGATGGAATTTCCGGTAAATTTAACTGTACGTGTGAAGTGTTTCTGGGAAGGCCGCCCAGATTTGTAGTTTCTCACGGAATTTCGAGCAGAGGGTACCACAATGAAGAGAGTGGCTCTCGAAATCTTTACTAGAGTAGT